ATCAGCTGCGATTTTTCCAGTTGTTCAGAAACAGCATCAGCTTTTAGTGACATTGCTCTTGTTCAATGCTCTTGCAATGGAGGTAACTAATCAATCATTCTTATTCAAAGTCTCTACCTTTAAATTCCAAAACTTTGAATCTTATTCAAAGTCTCTGCCTTTATGAGTGATGATGAGCATGGATCTAAAGAGGATGAAATTTGCAGGGTCTTCCTATATACTTGGACAAGATATTCAATGAGTATGTTGCTATTATTCTCTCGGTTACTTTCGTTCTATTCGTTGGGGAGGTATGTGTTTTTATTACTTATTCTAGCTTTTTAGGTTTATCAAGGCTTCCACTGATTTCAACAATGTGTGTTTTCAGGTTATTCCTCAAGCTATATGCTCAAGGTATGGACTGGCAGTAGGAGCTAATTTGGTTTGGCTTGTCCGCGTCTTAATGGTTCTTTCGTATCCGATATCTTTTCCAATTGCAAAGATGTTGGATTGGGTATTGGGACACGCGGATCCTTTGTTTAGGCGGGCTCAGTTAAAAGCTCTTGTTTCCATTCACGGCGAAGCGGCTGGAAAGGGAGGTGAACTTACACATGATGAGACCACAATCATTAGTGGAGCACTTGATTTGACTGAGAAGACTGCTCGAGAAGCCATGACGCCAATTGAATCAATCTTTTCCTTGGATGTAAACTCAAAGTTGGATTGGTGAGTTTGGTTCTCAACTTTTCTAGTATTGTGGAAAAAAATTCCTGTTATCTCACTGTTCATTGATTATTGCACAGGTCGTGTAGATTAAATGCTTATGGTTTCTGAAACTCGAGCATGTCACTCAGTTCTGTAACTATCTCCATTGAACATATATTTGACTCTCTATCTTACACTGCTCTGCTTGTGATTAATCTCCTAGGGAAGCTATGGATAAGATTCAAACACGAGGCCACAGCCGCGTTCCTGTCTACTCTGAGAATCCAAAAAATGTTGTCGGACTTCTCTTGGTAGGTGTTGTTCACCCTATTTCCGATGGTATGATTTGCCTGTTTCAATGGTGGCTTATCATGTTTATGCAAATTGTTCTGTTTAATAGGTGAAGAGTCTTCTTACAGTTCGCCCTGAAACAGAGACTCTTGTCAATGCAGTTGGTATACGTCGAATGCCAAGGTATTTCCATTATTATTTTGGCTGCCCTCTTTCCAGTTTTCTTTCCCCGCACATCGCTATGTAGAACGGAATTCTTATTGTGTGATAAATGATTAAACAGGGTACCGGCTGATATGCCTTTGTATGATATACTGAATGAGTTTCAAAAAGGGAGCAGTCACATGGCTGCAGTTGTGAAGGTTAAGGGGAAAAGCAAAGGTCCTCTTTCACCTTTGCTTGAAGAAAAGACTTACGAAAGTAATGCCCCAAGTAATATCGACTCCGAGTTGACTTCACCTCTGTTACTAAAGCGAGAAGGAAACCAGGACAATGTCATTGTCGATATTGACAAGATTAGTCGACAATCTTTCTTACCAAACAGTGAGACGGGAAGACACGGGTTCTCGCATACTTCAGAAGAGATTGAGGATGGTGAAGTTATAGGTATCATCACGTTGGAAGATGTGTTTGAAGAACTTTTGCAGGAAGAGATTGTGGATGAAACAGATGAGTACGTAGACGTGCATAAAAGGATTCGGGTAGCGACTGTAGCAGCAGTGGCCATTTCATCATTAGCGAGAACTCCTTCAAGCCGAAGGTTACTTGCTCAAAAGGGAACTGTACGTAACACTCAGTTGCAAAACAAATTGGTTTTTAAGTAGAAATATCTGTGCATCGATAAGAACCGGTTTTGTGTTTTTTTGCAGGGAGTACCAAAAACGCCAAAGGCATCTTCTACCCCCAAACAGGATAAACCGATCGCAACACAATCTCTTCAGGGCAACAACAACTGATGATTTCAGGTTTTGTTTGAGATNTGAGAAAATAAACAGGGTTTTATACTTAGATCAATTATTGAGCAGCTTCTGCTAACTGCATATTCTTTTTTGTCTACAAATACATTGAAACTTGTTTTTTCTTTCTTTCTTAGTTATCTTCCACTGGGAAAGCCATTATTTACATAAGGTGGCTACAAAACAGTAGATTGGTAGACCTATAAGACACAATCTTACGTGTTGGTTGATGTAGCAGTAACAACCTTAGCCAAAAAATCAGCCTGTGCATTTCCTATTTACCATCTATTTACATACAAAACACTTGGATGGTTTTTTTGTTCCTGAATTAGAAATCTAAGTCACTAATTTCACAATGTGAATTGTTTGTAATAAAAATGTTCAACCTCGTATTTGTATTTTCTATCTTGAAAAAAATATCCATATTTGTTAAAATCGAATATGAAATTTTAATTCTTGTTGATTTCTAGAAAGAAATAACAATGAACAACACCTTAATTTTTTTTTGTCAAATGTTAGACGACAACAACAACGAAAAAAAAGCATCGATGAAAAAGTTGACTAAAGCCTAAACAATTTATCAGCCTTGATGATAGGGTTTTGGATGATCAAGTCGTTAATGGCGGCAAATTTATAATCCGATGGACAAGAATGTTCTTCCGGGTAACGGTGGGACCCACAAAACACGTGACCGCATCTACATTGAAACCCTAGCAACCCCAC